TGCTGCATTTGACCAAAAGCATTTGAGAAGAGTAAAAACAGTTTAAGAGTGTTCAGATGCTATGGTGGTATTTGGCAGTAGAATTACCCTGGATCCATTCTATTTAGAGATTAGATTAGGCTAAAATAGACAGATGGGAGACACGGGCAAAAAAAAAAAAAGACCAATAAAATATAACTTAAATTCTAGCTCAGGCCTTTAAGTAATTAGCCTGGAAAAGAAATTGCAGTAGAACAGATTGGACGATTTAAGAGAAGCCTGGTGACCTCTGAAATAGTTAATCTTTGCAGTTAGATTAAACCTCATGATTATTCAATGGTTCTTGGAATCCTCTTTCCCTGTTTTCATGGGTTGCTCCTTTAGGTGCTCTAGACTCCTTCAACCCACAGTGGCACAACATTCCTTAAATGACAAAAAAATCATAGGCAATCACGCTGCACACAGGATGTAATTCCTTATAAATCTTTCACTAAGAAGGCAAACCTAATGAAAGTGTACACGCAATGATGCTTTTACTTGAAACATGTTGGGTCATGTGCTTTCTTCCACAACACACAGGGAAAGCAAAACATTCAGGAAAGCGAAATGTGCCAGAGGAAGAGGAGTGTAAAAGCAGTCATTTCCCCCAAACACTCCTTCCTGATAAAGCATCACAGCCTTCCGGGGGTGCATAGGGGAGAAAAGGAAAACCTTGGGGTCTCTGAAACATCATTCTCTTAAGACTGAGGGCAGATTTCTAACTGCAACCCAGCAGTAATCCTCATTCACAGACTGTCACGAGGGACTAGAACATGTTCCCTGAGGGGAAAAAAGGTCCCAGGAAAAATAGAAGAGCCTCCCTCTTCCTTGCCAATGTCCTACGGTCTGCACACTATACATGTTTCGTGGTGTGAAGAAACACTTAACCCTTCTGACTGTAACAGGAAACATTTTAGGTTAAAATTTGCAGAATTTCTTTGTTCTAGAAAATGTGACATGAGGTTTTGAACCTTTTAATGATGACATGCAATTGTTTTTCCCACTAATCTGAACCAACTTTGACCAAGAGGTTTCTCAAGAGCAAACACAGTTCTGTTGATGTCTTGCCATCACCTCTTCTAAACCTCACAATTTTACTCTAGATAGTTCAGCAAAAAGCTCAGGAAGAAATCTTGCTTGTGGGGAAACACTGTGCAGTGTGGTCCCTTGAGGTTTAGAGTCAGTGTTACATCCTGGAGGTAGTGCTGTACAGTATTGTACACTGCACTTTTCTTGCCAGTGAAGCTGCCTGTGTGATGAGATACTGAGTACCTGACCACTTTTTGAGTGGTATGGATCCCCAAGGACTTTTTGCAATGATTAGGTTGCTTGGCTCTAAAGCCCGTGCTTGTCCAGCAACAGGAAAGTGTGAAAGAGAAAAGCCAAACCTGCTAGAGGAACATTCATCAGTATTGATGCAACATTTGCAAGATATTTAAATAACATGTCAGGAAGGGCAGCCAAGAATCCTACACAAATTAGGCTGTCATTCCAACTCAGGTAATTATTTTCTATTTACCCAGTTTCCAATGTTCCCTAGAAATCCTACTGTAACCTGTTAGGTGGTTATTCAAGGTAAAATTTCTAGAAAGTAAGAGAGAAGAATGGTTACAAGTGATTCTTCCACAGAATCTACTGTGTTAGTTGTCATAAAGGCAGACACAAATCTGAAGCCTCTTTGCTGCAGAGACCGTAATTTAGAAAGAAATAAAAAATGTTTAGAGAGGAGGAAACAATGTATACATTCATTAAATATATTCACAATTAAAATGTTAAATGAAACAAGTTATTTCCAACTGCTTTCAACTTTGTTCTTGATAATTACACATGATTATAAGCATCTATGTGCATTTAAGGAAAATTGTATACTGCAAAGTGACAGTGCAATTATATAATTTAATTTAATAATTTAATTACAGAGGGTCTCAAGGCTCAGAGTGAAATTACGCTAAAACCTAGACCAACATTGATATGAGTCTCAGCCTGAAGAGCTTTAAACAGAGATCTGGAGGAGAGCAAATCTACCTTTATTTCTCTGTTTCCTCCTTTTAGATTGTTAAATTACAGCAGCACATGAGATTTATGAACAGTTTAAAAATGCAGTAGAAACAATCTGAAGAGACAGACAAAGCCTGGTTTCTTAATTGATGTAATCTAATAAAAATGAGGCAGAATTATAGTCACTATTCTTAGGAATGCTTTGGGGCAGTTTTTTCAGCAAAAGGAGAGGTTTATAAATACAGGCTCTTCTACAAACTGCACTGTCCATAGGTAAACAGGACACAGAGACATCCTGGGTGAGTGTTTGTTCAAGGATTGCCTGAACCCACCAGATGATAACTTCCAGCAGCAGTAACCTGATTTACTGGTCGAAGGGGAGCTGTCTCAGTTACATTTAGTCCTTTATGAGCGCAACAGCTGTTGTCTGGACCAACTCTGAGCAAGGAACAACAATTTCCAAAGCTAAACCCTCAGATCTTCACAGCTTGAAGACAGAACTAAGGCTTTACAGTTAACAGTTGCAATTATTATATGTGCTGACGAATCGATGTGAATTGAGACAGAGAAGTTGACTACTGACTCTACTAAAAACATAACTACCATTTTTATGACCATGTCAACAAAGAGGTTTTTCTGAGTGGAATTGTTTTTGCAGAAGAAAAAAGCTCCTACACAATAAAAACATGCAATTTTCCTCATTCACTGTCTTGTATTTTTGCATCAGATAATTCTTAGGGATAACTATAAGTGTAGATTAATTCAGCCAGGCAGATATCGTAGATGAGAGTGTTTCAGCAATCATCCCATAAAGAACAGTGTTTTTATCAAGACAGTTTCCAAAAATAGTTTCCCAATGACATCCATATTGCTAGGATCAGTAGCCCTGGTCGAAAGTTCCCATTTTCTTCCAGTCCCTGCAGAGATTTCTGAATTATTTGTGTATCCAACACATCCTGGTGGCTTCATTCCATTAAACAAGTTCTGCACTTTTTAATCCAGCTTTCACAGGGTAATATGAAGACACCTAATCCAGAGGTCATCCAACTTCCAGCATGGCAGTTTTATTTAGGTTTCTATCTCACTATAACAAAAAAAGAGCTGCTGCTGTAAAAACAAAACAAAACAAAAAAGTAAAAAAAAAAAAATCTAGTGCTGTAAACCAAGACACAGCACAGGAAATTAAAGAAAAATTTTGTTAACATTTTTAAAGGCATAATGTTATTTACTTTTTTGTAGAAGAAAATAAGTTGTACTGGTTTTGAGAGTTTATTCTCTCAGATCTCCACATCAGTAACTGGTCAAGGCAACTCTGGAATATCTCTGCTTTGCCTCTTGGTCAAGTGAAAGATAAATATAGAAGATGAATGCCCAATTGTCAGTCCAACATTGCATTTTGGTACTGTAAAAGTTTCTCTGACTGTTTTGCTTTTACAAAACTGGGTCTTCAGTTGTAGTTCCCAAACAAAGATTGATTCCTGCATCCCACTGACTTACAGCAAAGACTTCATCCACTATGCATTTTAATCTAGGAAATGTACTATCTCACATTCAACATTTTATTGCTTCTTTATTTCGGAAACACAAAAAGAGGATTTAGCAGACCTCAGATCTGCATTCTGAAATTCAGAATGACTTCTAAAAGGGAATGATTTAAGAAAAATAACAAAATGACATTATTTGGTGTGCTGATAACATGTTATTCTCGCTCCCCCATGGCATGTTGGAAGACAAGAAGGAAGAAACTTGAAGGACTTCCACAAGAGACTGAATTTGCTCGTATTCAGTTGTTCAGATGCTATTGACTGCTGCTTAGTGGCCAACTGTGACAATCTCTTTAGCTTCATCAAAACATACTTTTGTTCCCAATGACATTGCAAGCAACAACCCAATAGTGATAAAAAATTATCATCGCTTCTGTGTCATTGCATGTCAAGAACATTCTTAACTGCGGTTATTGTGCTGGGATGATAAATCTCATGACTATTAAAAGAAAAAGCAGTATTGATTTTGAAGTATTATTCATTGAACGTCACTGATGTACTACGCAGACAGAAGATAATGTCACTCATTCTGAGGATTTCCAAATAAAGTGTGAGAAATAGCACAATGTAGACATATGAGACACAAGAAAAGACAAAACTGATGTAAACTACAAATACTGGAAATGTGTCCCTTTTAGTAAATCCAAACCAACAGTTTAGATCTGTGGTCTGCAGCTTGAGGGTCAAAACCTAAATCCCAATCAGCAAACTACCACTGGTCTGTCTCTTGAGCTATGACGTGGAGCTGGAAGATACAGCTTGGATTTTACTGTATGTGATAGGACAAGGGGTAATGGTTTTAAACTAAAACAGGACAGTTTCAGATTAGATACAAGGAGGATAGTTTTTACAGTGACAGTGGTGAGGCACTGGCACAGGTTGCCCAGAGTGGTGATAGATGCTCATCCCTGCAAACATTGAAGTTCAGGTTGGACAGGGCTCTGAGCAACCAAATCTAGTTGAAGATGTCCGTGCTTATTGCAAGGGGGTGGGACAGGATGACCTTAAAAGTCCCTTCCAACCCCAACCATTCTATGATTCTATGATTTGAGTGCCTCGTGACTTTTAATATGTTATTTCCCTCAACTTAAGGTGTTGGCCATGTTGCACTGCTCATGTACTTTGCTATCTATGTGAGGTCCAGCTCGGAAAACGGCCAGTGCATCCAGTGAGCTACTGCACTGCTCCAACCCCTCAGACCCCAATGACTCCAACCAGATGCTCCCCTCCACCATGACCTCAGCTCCAGCACGGTGGGAAAAGGCAACTGTCTCTCCAGGGGCCAGCGCCTCGTAAGGGGTGCCGAAGCATCCCTCCGGTGTCCACCGGGGAAATGCGGGTCCGTTTTGTCCCAAGCAGCTGGGGCGGCCGACGGGAAGCTCCTCCCAGGGGTGTAGCACAGGAAGAGGTGGCGGTCGGGGGAGCCGTGGTGCTCCCTGCGAGCCGGCGGAGTTACCGCTGCCTGTGTTACTATGCGTGTGTCTTATGTTACAGCCATGCTGCACATCGACGGCCAGAGCGAGGGGCGCGGGGAGGAAAAGGCTGTTTACACAGACTGCAAACCGCCCGGGGAATAGTGCGGGAGAGGAAGTGAGCCGGGCCGCTGTCTGACTGCCCCGGCTTCCTGCTCGCTCCCTCACACGGGCAGGCGCTCACACACACACACACACACACACACACACACGCACCGGCCCAAGGGACAAAAAAAAGAGAGAGAGAAAAAAGGGGAAAAAATCAGGATCTCATTACTAGAACAACAGAGCGTCTGCAGAAGACTGTCAGCATGGAGAACCGGGGGATTTTACCCAGCTCCCTCTAAACTACCAGGAGAGAGCGGAAAAGTCCCTCAGCCGCTGGGTAGGTACAAGTGCTGCTGCGCCCGCCCCGGCTCCCGCAAAGTTTCGGGGGGCTGCGGGGAGGGGAAGGGGGAGCGGCGGCTGCCGCGGGGGCCGGCGCCCCGCTCGCTGGTGGGAGCGCGGCGGGGACACCGCGGGGCACACCGCGGGCTGGAGGTGAGCAGCGCCGGGAGCAGCGCGGGGAGGGGGCTCGGAGCCCCGCTCGGAGCCGGGGAGCCCAGGGGTCCTCCCCCGGGGTCGGGCCCGGCCACAGCGGCGGTAACGGGGCAGGGGGCGGCGGTCAGGGGGGCGGGACGCCGGAGGAGGCTCCCGCCGCCTCGGGGGCCCCCCGCCCCAGTGGAAAGTTGCCCCGGGGGCCCTGCCGCCCCCCGGGAGCTGCGGGTGAAGGTGAGAGGACGGAGCGTATGGGGGGCGAGGGGAGGGCCGCGGGAGAAGGGCCCGGGGTGCGAGGAGGGGCAGGGCCGGGATGGGGGCGCCGCGGGTCTGGGGGAGCCCCGGGAGTCCGCGCCGCCCCGCAGCCCCTCGGCGGTGCCGGGTCATGCCGTGCCCCCCTCCCCGGCCGTGCCCGGCCGGCGGTGCCGCGGGACTGCCCCGTCCCGGCAGCTCCCCGGTAACGGCGCTGGGGCGGCGGGGGCCGCCTGGGTGCCTGTCACGGCGGCGGGGGCGTCGCGGGGTCCCCGGCGGCGCTGCGAGGCTGAGCGGGGCCGGGGAGGGCGTGGGGGGAGGGAAGGGAAGGCCCCTGCAGAAACTGCAGAAGGGGCTTTAAAAAGGGAAAAAAAAAAAAAAAAGTGTCGGGAGAGTTTCTGGCTTGTCTGGAAACAGCAAGACTAATTGCCATGCGCTTCCGGTTTGAAACTGGCAGCAGACAACATCTTGAAAATGAGTCACTGCAGCTCACAAAGAAACTCTGTGGTTTTCTCCCTCTCAGGTTTATGTATTTGCTCCTTTTTACAGTTTCCTTTGTAGTCTTCTGCCTTCTCCCCGGCCCTTCCCCCCTCGGCTTTCCTTAGCCACCTCCTGCCCCGTAGACCCCCTTGGCCGACGTGGATAGTTTCCACGACCAACTAAAAAAAAAAAAAACAAACCAAAACAAAAAAATGTTTGTAAGGGAAGGAAAAAATAGAGACAGAGAGAAAGGGAGAGAAAGTGGAGAGTTGTTGTTGGATCTGGCTTTACTGAAGGTTAGAGGGACTCTGATGCTGCAGGGGGAAAAAGTTCCCTGAATTTTCCACTGGCTGCAGGAAGAGAGCCCATTTAGTCATGGCTAAGTAATGTCTGCACACACACCAACTAATCTCATTAGGAGTTTCCGTTCCCTAACACAGGAGGGTTTTGTGAAGCCCTGTCAGCCTTTCTAACGTTGCAGTTGAAAGGGAGACAAGTTACATCTTTATTTACTTACGTTTGTAGTGCTAAGACAATTTTATACAATGCAGCATCTTTTCGGTCATGAGAACTCCAACTTCAGAAGTCAATGGTTACATTTAATTTCTAGCAGAAAGTCGTGGTTTATCTCATATTTTGCTCATATAGACTTTTCAATTATTTTGGATTAATGTAATTTATCCATAAATATTTCCATGGGGTGAAGCACGTAAATGGGGTATGCAGAAGGCTGTGTTATGAGAAACATGTTCTATCCATCTGTGACAGTTGTATGTAACTGCAAGATTAAAAGACTTTTGAGCCAAGATACTGAGGTGATGGGCATATTTGAAAAGCGTATTCACTCACATAGCCTTCCTGTGTTGGTGCTTTACATGTCTAATTTTCAAGTGATTTTGTACGTACCACTTTTAATTTAGTGGTTTGCGTAATTATTTCATGATGATTTATTTTCACAGCCGTCATGAAAGAAGTCCATGTTCAGAATTAGAAAGATTTTTGCCATGCCCCACCAAACTTTTTGCAGGAAAAAAAAAAAAGCCTGGAGCAAACAAAGAAAATGGATTCTTGCTTGCAAGTGGGTTTTAGCTAAAGGAAATGTCAATAAATGTGAATAAAATGGCATGTAACAGGAAATAACACTTAGCTACTTAATTGAATTATCATGTGATAGCATTAAACTAGCAAATATTATGCAAAAAAGTAGTACTTGCAGTATACCACGTGTTTACTTTTGAGGATCTTCAGTGTTTCCTGTACTTCCTATGTCCAAGTGGCACAGAAAAGTTCTTCATTAACATCACTTTACAGAGGACTTTTATTAGTGGATTAGTGACACAATCTCCAGACACACATGCCTCTTGATTTTCTAGCCAGGCAGTGAAGAATTTTTAGAATAGTGCACAAACCAGAAAATGCCTGATCTGTTTCAATCAAATGCAGTTATCATGAAGCAAGAGAATTTTTTCAGTTTTATTTCTTTTGTAAAATTCTAAATTTTAGAGAAAGAGGTGCATTACTGGGCATAATGATCAAAAGTCTTTTGAATATATTATAGAACAATTAGTGTGATGTACAATAATAAACCTCTTACTGAAGAGTGTTTCCTAGCTCTTATTATCTCTCTTTGAAATATCGATATTTAATTGTCCACTTACTGCATTAAATATTGCTGGAATTTCAGTGTGCCATCTACATGAAGCACACACATACATACATACGTACATATATATATATATATGTAGTCTATCCGCACAAATTTCATATATTATGTTCACTCAAGTCTAAAACATCTTGATGTCCTATAGAAAAACAAATGTAGTAATAGTATTATGGTTGTGTGTTCTGTAAATTTGAAAGACTGAATGAGAAGTAGTCTGTAGATGTGTTAAAAAACAACGGTTCCGTTTGAAATAGAAAAAAAAAATCCAAATATCATATAATGCATGATAGTTTCCACTCAAATAATAAAAAAGTATTAAAGGCGTTTTTACTGCAAGTATGATTTTATTCTTTACTTCTTTTAATTTACAAAGCATAAAAGTGTATGAGAAGAATATATATTGTCTGTTAAGTGTTCAGATACTATCATCTTTGCTTACATCTTGATTTTTCAAATCACCTCTGGGAGTTGTCCTAAAAAGAAAAAAATCTTCAGGTTTATATCCTTTCTGATATCGCTGACTCTACCTGGATGCAACATCTGAAATAAGCAACACGGTTTCAGGGAAGAAACTCAGCTACAGCTTTCCTTGTAACTGTTTATAATACTATGCACATGGACACTTTAATATGTAGAAACAAAAATGTATTTTGTTTTATTCATTAGCAGTTCTCACTGCTTACTGATTCACAATGGTTCTTTGCTCCTATTACTTAATGTTACTTTATTAAACTTCAATCATGAAAAGAAATCAAATGTTTCACTCCAAAGACTGAGATATTCCCTCTTTGCTGTGCAGAAAGTCCAATTATGTAAATTTTACCTACTCATTGTAATGCCCTTCTTGGGTTGAAGGCATTCTTATGACAGAGGTATCCTTAGAGGCAGGTGTTATTAATCAAGTGATCACAAATACTGATCAAAAACTGGTTCTGAAGGACTTAGCACAGAATGAAAGTCAATTTGCAGGTTCACCAAGGTGCCTGGAGCTTGTTGCTTGCTCTGAGGCTCATCTGTTTAAATGTAGGAAGGTAGGTATACATAAAATGGACATAGAGGTCCATCAGCTGTATAGAAAATACAAATCTTGGCCTTGGAAATGCAATGACATGACAACATGTTACTTCAGAAGAAAGAAATAGGTGCCAAAATAAACAGACATTTGGCTACTAAGGATAAAGGAGCACAGGATAAGAGTGGAAGCTCCAACACATGGTTATTTGTGATGCATGTGTTTATGAAAAAGTATTTTAGCTAATGTGTCTTGGTGACACCATGTAAACTTTGTAAGCTCACGTAGTGATTACCATTATCTCCGTGAGTGGTTCTCTGTCATAGTGCTAAATAATCTAAGAGAGTGAAGAACTGATAAATTAGCTACTACTTCCCATAAAGGTATGGCAGGTTGGACTCACTTGTGCAGTTGAGGTGATTTATCAGTCCCTGGTTTTCTTCTGGTGGAGGTGGGTCCAATGCGCAGCATGCTGTTGCTGGAGTCACTTTTGGAGCTGTGACACTGATTATAGGACAGTTAGCCTGGGCCGCTTTCAAAGAGTACTGTTGGTTTTGAGCTGCTGTCTATCTCTGGTAGCCACACCCAATGGTTCATGCCACAGGCTGTCACTGACGGGCCTGTCAAAGTCCTGTTGTGCTGTATATCCCGGGATTGATTCACCATGGCTTTCTCAGTGTTTCCCACAATAGGGAATCTCATAGTCTTGAATCATTAGGCAGATGTTTACTTTGTCTGTGGCTTGTTAAATGAATCAACGAGTATCTGGAGGCTGTTGAGAGCTCTTGAAAGACAGAATATGTCTGTTCTCATGTTGAAGTATTTTGTTGAATAATGAATGATTAAAGATTTAGTCACGATTTTGAGGGGAATGTCAAGGTGTAGGCACAGGAAGTCCAGCTCATCGCACCACAAAATACAAGGCTTCATGGATGGAAACAAAGCAGATGAAGCACAAAGTAGCTCTCATCTGTGCACTTCACAAGAAGAAATTCATCTTTGTCCTTAAAACTTACTTTAAGTCATTGTGGTTTTATATGTCAGTAATTATATCAGAATTCAGGTTCTTAAGGGTTTGCTGTTAAGAGTGGATTTTAATTCAAAAGCTCTTTGAAGGACACATGCTGCTTTTATAAAAGCAAGAACTAAAGAAAACACCTGCCATAAGCATTAATATGAAAATATTACAGAGGCACTACCTGCCACTTAATAAGTGTATAGTCTTTCTGCATTTCTAATATTGTATGAATACTGTGGCAGTTTTTTGCAGTACTAAAAAAGTACACTGGAGCTGTTGATCTACTTAGTCAATGTAATTCATGGGCAGTGTCTCATATTGTGCTGAACAACTAAATATTTAAGTAATATTTTATATTGCAGTTAAGAACATCAGAGGCCAAATTTTGCCATGGCCTAGGCAGGTAATGAAATGATACATCTT